GCGCTCGCGTTCAGCACTGCGACATACGCGAGCACGTGCGTCAGGCTCTGGGTGGACTCTCCCGCTGAGAATTCCTTGTGAAGATTACAGGACACCTCACGTACTGCATAAGCAAATACACGAATCTCTACATTTCAAGCAATGGGCATTCGTCACATCATTAATATGTACATTCTTGCAGTATCACTACACAATCAACAATGCCAAGTTCAAAGAATTGAATTCACGGTTTCTCTTACTAGGAAAATACCTGGCGTCGACCGCACGATGATCGCGATATCAAGATGTGGCGTCGCATGCCAGTATGTGTCAATGTTTTGAGATTTGATGTATCTGCAGTGCAACGTGAATCGAGTGACTGCTCCATCCCGCCCCTCACCTTTCTTCTTCTCCTCCGCCTCGGCCAGCTGGCGCTGCGCCCACTCGCTGAACGACGGGATGTCTTCCGCCGCCGCCGCCGCCGCCGCCTCGTCGTCGTCGTCGTCCGCGCGGGTGGCGTTGGCGGCTGCGCTCGGCGCGTCGGTGGGCGGCGCCTCCACGGCGGTGGGCGGGGGCTCGGCGGAGGGCGGCGTGATGGGCGCCTGGCCCTCCGCCTCCACCACCTTCGGCTCCGCGCGCACCACGTACTGCTGCTGCTGCTGCTGCTCCTCCTGTGGAAGAACGCGCCCTCAGCACTTGCATCGACTGACATCATTGGGCACTAGCCTAGCGTACAGCAATCTCCATCTGAGCATGTGGACGTGCACAAAACTCCATAATAATTACTTAGATCGATTGGGAACAGTCAGTTGGCCTTCTTCGATGTTTACCTGCTTACATTTGTACATCTTAATATTTCCAGATGTTCGGTTTCCAATTCGGCATTAACTATACTTTATTTCTACATAATATTTCAACTTATTGTTAGCTATAAATCAATTCACTGAAACGAGAGACTCACAAGTTTGAATCTTGACAGTACGTTTTGCAAAATTAAGTGATTCTAGGCAGTACATTACGTGCGTGATACAAAAAATAAGTGAAATGATTGTAACTAATTTGTTCGTCATTTTCAGAAGGAATTAAAAGTTCACCATTTTCTACTGATGAGACCAATCAAATTTATCAACAGAACTCAAAAGCACAAATAATCCTTACGGTGGTGCATTATTGTACTTATATTTTATTTCATTTATTTAAATACATTATTTTTTTCTAAAAATGAATTATCGAAGACCCGGTGGAATTAAAAAAAAAATGACACACTAGGACTTCACTAGCCTACTCCAATTTCTTTGGGAAAGTCACGTTGATTGGTAGTCAAGGTATACTTTTACGTACATCCCATACGTCACTTTTCAAGTCTGAAAACGTTATCCACACGCGGTATAACTGTCAAGTTAGGTAATTGTGACGAATTTCGTGCACTGCAGATGTCTACCCTAGGAAATAATAAAAGTTAGTACAAACTTTCTCTGAATGAACAATCGATCACGCAGATCGCAGATCAGGTACAAAACTTCGGATGCGGCCAAACAACGTTACATAAATATGAAAGTCAGATAATCAGATTTCTTTCTTCTGAATGACAATGTAGATAAGGACGATCTCAAAGAAACGATAGACGTATAAATGCTTGCTTATTCTATTCTTAACTACCTTATTTTAAAATTCCTCCTTTATTTTACGTTCAGAATTCAGTGGAAATGTTAATGTACAGCATTGTACTACCGGAGTGGTATAGTGATTAACTTGTTGCATCAACCACTACTTTTTAGATGTGTGGCAATAAAGTTTCACCAAAAATTGGGAATTCCGGAAAGGAAAGCAGAAAACATTTGTATGTAAGAACTGTCATTGAATGCCAATAACTCAATTTTGATGAATAATCTGTTTTTTCATTAAAGAATGGAAATAATCATATTCTAGGATAAGTTTAAAGTATTTACAACTCTTTTTTTCTGGTAAGGATTTTAGCTGCTGCTATTCCGAAAATTCCATTACCAAGAAGGTCGCTAAAATACAAAAAAAGAATAAAAAAATATTTAATTTAATACTTTTGAAGTTTCACTCCATCAGGAAATTGTAATTAAAACTTTCGAACGTTATTCAATTCCAATTCATCACTGCACATAAATGCGTTGACGTAACATTCAATACTGCTTTCTGCTCTTTTGGTAACTTGTCTGGGAGGCATGACAGCCCCCGCAGCCCCGGCTCCTCCAAAGTC